CGAGCGATTTCACCAGGACATTGCAACAATGGAGAAACGCTATCGGGGCAAATGGAGTCCATCAATGCTTGCAGACTATTGCTGGACAGTGACAAGAGATGCTCTATTTAATGAATACAAGAGACAAGCCAAGAAGCGCCGAGTAGACATTGAATAGGACTAAACTATGTACATAATAGTTTTTTGCCTTTTGTTTCATAATACATTTTATTTATATAACCCTTTTGCTGATTTTTAAAGTGTTACATAAACAGGACAGGTGAAATATTCTCATGTAAAGCAACCATAAACACATGAAAAGACCTAGGTTTACAATTTATGATTAAAACGCTACTATCTATACAATATACATAGACGTAAAATGTAAAAACATAAATATCTTGGAAACAGTAGCCAATCAGTTGTTTTAATTGTCATATTTGAATTCAGCACATCAAAATACCTAATAAATAGCATATTTTATCTCTGAAGCAGACGACTTCTAAAAAATTGTAGACTGGTGTAATAGGCTTTCTGGAAATCTAAATATACAATAGCTACTGAACCCCACTTGTCCTTATGCTTGTTGACTCTCTCAAATAATTCTAGTAGATTGGTGAGGCATGATTTCCATGTACAGAAATGTTGACTTTTGCCCAACAAATTATGTTCATCTATGTATCTTACAATTCTATTCTTTATTATAGTTTCAACCAATTTGCCTAGTGCTGAAGTTACACTGTCATGTAATTACCAGCATTACCGCGAGAGCTTATTTTAAAAATTGGTGTCACATTAGCTATCCTTAAATAATTTGGTACAGAAGATGATTTAAAGTATAGATTACAAATACAGTTAGTAGTTCCACATTTTCATTTTTGAGTTTTCAGAACTCTTGGGTGAAAGCCATCTGGTCTTTGTGATTTGTTACTATTTAGTTTATTTGTTCCAAAACCACCTCTAATGATACCTTAATCTGGGAAAGTTCCTCAGACTTGTCACTTAAAAAGAATCTCCCTCACTTCCTCAGCCACGAAGACCAATGCAAAGAATTCATTTAATTTCTCCAACAATCTTATTGTCCTTGAGTACTCATTTAGTATGTTGATTGTCCAGCAGCCCCACAAGTTGTTTAGCAGGCTTCCTGCTTCTGATGTACTTTAAAAAATTGCTTTTACTTTTTTTGAGTTTTTGCTTAGCTGTTCTTCAGATTCTTTTAGCCTTCCTAATTATAATTTTACACTTCATTTGACAGAGTTTATGCTCCTTTATATTTTTCTCATTAGGATTTAACTTCCATTTTTTAAACTATTCCTTTTTTATTTCTCACAGCTTCTCTTACTTGGTTGTTAAGTAAGACAGACGGTGGCACTTTTTTCTTCTTCTGTGTTTTTTAATTTGGGGAATACATTTAAGTTGGGCCTCTATTATGGGTCTCTTGAAAAGTTTCCATGCAGTTTGCAGGGATTTTACTTTTGTCACTGTACTCCCCACCCCCATTTAAGTAATCTCATTTTTGTGTAGTTCCCCTTTCTGATATTAAATGCTACAATGTCGGGCTGCTGTGGAGTTTTTCCCGCTCCAGGAGTGTTAAATTTAATTATATTATAATCACTATTTCCAAATGATCCCGCTATATTCACTTCTTGGACCCCAGATCCTACATTCCATTTAGGATTAAATCAAGAATTGCCCTCCTCTTGTGAGTTCCAGAACCACCTACTCCAAGAAGCAGTTATTTAAGATGTCAAAGAAACTTTATCTCTACATCCCATCCTGAGGTGACATGTACTCAGTCAGCATAGGTATAGCTGAATCTCCCTTAGCATTTCATAGTCACTATTGCCATCCTGGTGAGGTGGTCGATAATATATCCCTACATCTATATTCATATTACAAGAATGTAGAATTACTATCCATAAAGATTCTGTTGAACAGTTTGGTTCATTTAAGATTTTAACTTTATTTGATTCTACACTTTTACATATATCGCTACTCCTGTACCAGCACAACCTTGAAAATATATATCTTGAAATATATTTTGTAACCTGATAATACTGTGTCCCATTGATTATCCTCATTCCACCAAGTTTCTGTGATGTCTTTTATATCATCTGTTACCAATAAAATGAGGAATTCTGTGGCATCTTAGGCTATGTCTACCCTAGGGAGTTATTTTGAAATAAGGTATTCCTCTTCACAAGCAGGAGTTCTTTCAAAATAACAAGCTCTTTATTTTGAAATAATGAGCTTGGTAGTGTGGACGCTCACTTTATTTCAAAATAAGGGGAGTTATTTCGAAATAACTCCCCAGGGTAAATGTGCCCTGAAAGCAATGGTCACCAGGCAGTAGAGCGGGATCTACTGGTAGATCTTGGAGCCTCTGACAGGTGATCCTGGCCAAATCAGTCAGGAAGCTATCAAGCGTTGGCACTTCAGTTGCCCCTCCGCCCACTGTCACGCTGCTCCTGCCCTCTGCTTGGAGCTGCCCCACCTGGGAGCCTCTTGCAAGGTGTGGGAGGAGGAAAGGGGAGGTTCTAATATCAGGGTGTCCCTCCTCGCATTCCTGTAACCTATCTCCACACAGAGAGAAGGGGTTGGAAGGAGTTTGGCAATGCAAATTTCTGTCACTCTCACACTGTGTGTGTGTGTGTGTGTCCATCTGTCATTCTCACAAACACACACTGTCCTTCCCTCTCATGTCCCGACCCAACACACATGTGGAGGGTGTTTGTTACTACTTTTACTGCTTGCAAAGTGGGTTATGTTTGGGTTTTGACTGGTCTGTGCATTTCATAATTTTAATTTCTCTCATGTTTAAGTATAATTGTTTTGGTAGTGAGTTCTAAAATGCCTAACCTGTCATGGGTGGAGTAATTATTCCTATAATAATTGCTGCTACTGCAAGTGGCTGGCATGTCCCTGCAGACTCTTTAGAGAGTCTGCAGACTCTTGAGAGAGTCAGAGCAGGAGGTCTCCACATGCTGTCCTTGCCTGCAGACACCACTCCCATTGATCAATAATGGGGAACTGTGGCCAGTAGAAGCTGTGGGCTCAGAGCATGTAGATGAGGGGCAGCACAAGGCACCATGGAACCATTGCTGTACATGACAGCTGCTTTCAGAGGTGGTGAAGGGGCAGGGCAGGAATAAGCCTGCCTTAACTCCACTGCTCCACCGCATGGGAGATATCTCAGTTAAACAGTGCCCAGCCAGAGCCTGCTTCCTGAACCCCTGTCCCAGCCCTGAGCCGCCTCCTATACCCAATCTCCTGCTCCAGACATGAGTCCCCCTATACCCAAACTCCTTCCCAGAGCTTTGCCCCTGAAGCTCCTCATGGACCCCAATCCCTGCCCTGGGCTAAGCTTGGAGCCCTTCCCACATTCTAAACCTTTTGGCCCAAGACCAGGGCCTGCATCCCAACTCTCTAGCCCAGCCTGGTGAAAGTGAGTGAAAATGAGGGAGGAAGGGAGATGGAGTGAGCAAGTATGAGGCCTCAGAGAAGGGGAGGAGAAGGGGCAGGATGGAAACGGGGCAGGGTATTTGGGTTTGAGGTAGATCTTACATTTCACTTAAATTGAAAAAGTGATCTTCTGGTTAAAAAGGTTGGAAACCACTGCCTTAGAGACTTAACAAATTTATCTGGGCATTAGCTTTCGTGTTAGTCTTTAAGGTGTTACAGGACTCCTAGTTATTTTTGCTGAACTAGACTAATACAGCTACCACTCTGAAAAAAAATCTCATCAACAGAAGATGGTCCCATAAAGGATATTACCTCACCCACCCTGTCTCTATTAAAAAGCTGTTCATTTGTTTTAGTCAATTTCTTCCAAACAGTTACTATAGTAATGTCACTTAAACATATAATGGGACTAGGCAAAATTTGAAAACTAATTTTAGAACTTAATTCTCGTTTTTAAATTTATATAATTTATGAAAATTAAGGTGCATGAAAGAAGTGGAATAACTTGCATTGTAGCAGTCACCTAATAGTCTGTACTGTAGTTTAACATGGCAAAATAGTATTCACTCTTCCTAAAACATTCACTTATTCAGATGTTTTCTCAAATTGGTCTCTATCCAGAGTTAAACTTCTCCCATGCCTGGATGTTTGAATAAAAGTTCTTGAGTTTGGCAAAAAGTTACCATTTATTTTCTGCTTTTGAGGGCCTAAACTTGAACCTTAATATGGATATGGTCTTCATTGAGAATTATTGTCATTTATTAGTTGGATGGGGAGGTAGGAATTAGGTGGCTAAATAATCATTTCTAAAAATGTTTGGTCCCATGTGCTAAGAAATCACAAAACAATGAAATCGCATCATCTTTCTTCTTACCCAGCTGTCAGGCATGAATGGTGATTGTTGATCTAGAGAAGGGGATTGGGAGGATAGGGTGGTGTTCTCAAATAGCAGTAGAGTAGTTTCCATAAAAGATGTTTATGGCCATTGAAATTCGCACAGTAAAATCATTCCCAAAAATTCTTAACTATGGGAAGTAGAAAAATAATAGATACAGGCAGTCCCCGGGTTACGTACAAGATAGGGACTGTAGGTTTGTTCTTAAGTTGAATTTGTATGTAAGTCGGAACTGGTACATATTGTAGGGGAAACTCTAGCCAAACATTTCTCCAGAGCTCAGTTTTATTCTCCCACACCTCACTTCCCTCAGTCCTTTATTCTCAAGCTGAGGTGTCTGCTGAGAAAAGCCGCTCCGTGTCTCCCTAGTCTGCTGGGATCTGCTGAGAAAAGCCTTCGCGTCTCCCTGGTCTGCTGGGGGGAAGCAGCTAGTGCGGGGTTGCCTCACCCCGTTTGTAAGTAGGGATCCGATGTTAGTCGGATCCATGTAACCCGGGGACTGCCTGTATGTCTAATATGCTGCTGCATTGTACAATATTCTTCAAGTTTTAGTAAGTTCACTGACATTTGTTTCAATGGCAAAGAAATTACCTTATGTAAACCAATAAAAAATTATCTGCAAATGAAAATAGCAAAGATTGAAACACCATTTCATCTCATTGAGGTTGAACTGAAAGCATACTTTGGATTACTCAAATGCTGACATTCATCTCTGGAAGTCAGCACAACCACCTTGGTGCACTACTGTTTGTGCTGCTTGACTTTAATTGAAGATTTCAGTGCAAGCATTAACTCTGATTGCACTTATACTGTATTTTCTATTTGTTTTTCTGCACAAGGCTGGGATTTTCCAAGGAGCCTAAATGAATTGGGCATCCACCTCTTCTAGAATCCTTGGAAAATGCAACCTAAATATGTATCTTCTCTTAATACTTTATCAGAAAGTGCAAATTATTAAGCAAAATGTATTTTTCCATTTAATTTTAGTGATTGTTTTTTTAAATAAAGAATGTTTTCGTTCTTTGTTTACTCAACACTATATACTTGCTATCTTATGGTTGATGGTTTTACTGTCTCTTAACTTGTTATACAGTCATTAATATAAGTGTTACTGAATTTTAAATATATGAGACTGCTTCTGAGGTTTTCAGACATGAATATTTTAATTAACTTTTTTTTAACTGTCAGAAAGAGAAGGAGCTTGAGAAACTGGGAAGAGAGGAAATGGACATTAAGAAACTTGTCAGAGAGCTCCGTCAGAAGGTAGAAGAAGCAAAAAGTTCTTTGGCAATAAATCGCAGTCGAGGAAAAGTTCTTGATGCTCTACTTCAGCAGAAGAAATCTGGAAAAATTCCTGGAATATATGGAAGACTGGTAATGTTTAAGAATTGATTTTTATGCTTCAGATGTGCCATTACTCTTATTGGAATTGTCCTAAGTTAATGAACCAACAATGTATTTGGCATCCTATAAATCCTGTATATCCAAGGATTTCAAAGCATTTTATTTATTTATGTAAGCCTTTTACAATTCCTGTTTCAAAATCCACTCAGTACATGTGGCTGAAGGTTTTCAAGAAAACCTGTTAAAACGTCTTAATTCTCTGGTTCAATTTACAATTGACCCAGCATAAAAGCAGTTTAGAGTCTGCTCTAACAAGAGCCACTTGACTATGATAGAATCCACTGTGCTTGGCCATGCCCTCTTCCTGCCCTATCATGATAGCCCCGTGCTTTGGAAGATATAGTAGGGTAGAAGATGAGTGAGGGGAGAGGACACTGCTCAAACAATACATTGTAATTCACTGTGATAGCAATTACAAAACAGTCTGATGGAACAGAGTTCGTAATGTCATTTTAAAATAACGATAGAAATATTTCTAGTGTAGGATTGATATTGAAAAACATCTGATAACTATAGTAAAAGACACCGCCTCTCATAATGTGTTGACAGAGATGTCAGTGCCAGAGGAACTAAATCAGTTAGCACAATTTTTAAATCACTGTGGATATAATATAAGCCATGCAACCTTCATTTGAGGTCTGTGATCTCTATTTCAGAAGTGGTGAAACTGAGTTAGGTTAAATAGTTCTCTCAAGTCATACAGAAGGTGATGGAGTAGTGATTAAATACTAATACCTAGCTGTTACATAGTGCTTTTATTTGCAGATCTCTTAAGTGCTTTGAACCATATCATTATCCCCATTTCACAGATGTGAAAAACAAGGCACAAAGGTGAATTGATTTGCCCAAGACCAAACAGCAATCCAGTGGCAGAACAGGGAATGGAACCTAGATCTGCCAAGTTCCAGACAGTTCTTTGTCTAATAGCTCACACTGAGATACTCCATGCAAAATTATCTTTCTGCCTGGAGCATTAATAATTATTTCTTTAACCAGATGTCTGTACATTGTTTTTAATACACAAATTACTATATTTCAGGTTGTGTTAACATGTTTTTTGTCATCTCTATTAGAACCTAGAAAAAAAGGGTATCGCTGTTATTTACCATACTGACCAACATAACTGTCTCTCTGCTCTATATGTCAATTGCTAGGGAGACTTGGGAGCTATAGATGAAAAGTATGATGTTGCTATTTCATCATCTTGCGGTGCCTTAGACTACATTGTTGTAGATACAATTGATACAGCTCAGAAATGTGTGAATTTCTTGAAGAATCAAGGAATTGGAGTTGCCACATTTATAGGCTTGGACAAAGTAAGTATTGGTTTTCTGGAAATAAGTCATACTGTTGACTCGCCCTGTATTATAAGCTGTTCTGAAAAAATACTTTGTACATGCTATATAATAATCAGTTTCTTTGAGGTTTTTATCTTGCAAGTGAGCAGGCATCTCTTTGATATCATTATTTAATATCTATCCACTGGTATTCTTCTGAAGAATCTGTAACAGCATAGTGCTAGGGAATTACTATGTATGCCCAGAGGCTGTGTTTACTTACACTGAGATTCCTCCTTTTCCATATAGATGACAGTATGGGAAAATAATATGAATACAATTCAGACTCCAGAAAACACTCCTCGTCTATTTGACATGGTGAAAGTAAAAGATGAGATGATTCGCCAAGCCTTTTACTTTGCATTACGTGATACTTTAGTAGCCAATAACTTGGATCAGGCTATTAGAGTAGCATTCCAAAGGAACAGAAGATGGAGAGTTGTGACTTTGCAAGGACAGATCATAGAACAGTCAGGTATTTTAAAATACAAAGCTAAATTTAAATCTTTGCAATGTTATTGTTTGATAGTAAATCGAAATTAGCTTGCTGACTTCTTTTCCCTATCATACTTTAGGAACAATGAGTGGAGGTGGACATAACATAATGAAAGGTAGAATGGGATCCTCTGTCGTGGTTGAAATGTCAGAAGAAGAGGTTAGTTCATAATTGCACATAGATTATCTTCAAAATTTGTCTCTTACATTAACATGTCCTGATTTTTTTAGTGTGCAGATATATATGAATGTGTTTTAAATGTTATTTACCAATCAATGCTGTAACTTTCTGAAAGACTGACTAAACCTGATACTATCAAGATTTGTATTGGAGTATTTCTCACCACATTGATAATTGCATAATACACTTTAAACTTATGAAGAATATTGTTCCCATTCCAGTTACATTATGTTTATAGATGTTATGCTGCTTTATCTGCATGTGTATATGTGCCTGCATATAGACAGATTAAAGTTAATAGTTATGAACTGAATTGTAAGAAGCAACTAGTTCAGGGGAAGGACTGAAAATAAGGAACTGTTGTGCAGAAGAACAGTGAGTATAGCCTTGGAAGTTCAAGACAGGAGCTTAAGTTTTTATCATTCTAATTATGCAACACAAAGTTTGTTCAAGATTTCTGCAGTCCACAAAATGACCAATCAGACTAACTTCAGTACTAAGCAGATGGTTGAAACTGTAGTAAACAGAATTATCAGCTGATATGTAGATAAACACAAGTTAGATGGTTGATCTGAAGCAGTATGGCTTACTAAGAGCAGCCCAAAAGATAAAGATCTCCAGGAACTAGATTTATTTAAAGAAAGATCTGTTCATAAGACCTGGTAATTTGCCTTTACATATTGTTAAATTACCATCCTTTCCAATTAAAATCCCATGAGACTTGATGGAGCAATGAAATCAATAGGTAGGACAGAGGAATCCTGTTTAAAACAAACAAAAGGGAAGTATTTCTTCACACAATGCACAGTCAACCTGTGGAACTCCTTACTAGAAGATGTTGAAGACCAGGAGTTTAACAGGGCTCAAAAAAAGACCTCGCTAAATTAACGGAGGATAGATTTATCATTGACTATGAGACAGGATGTCCCTAGCTTCTGGGGTGGGAGAGCACAAGAAGTCTTTTCCCTCCTCCCCTACCCTGCTCCCTAGAGAGAAACACCAGCTGTTTTGAAACAGCTGGTGTTCCCTCTAGTTGCTTACTGGGAAGAGATTTTTGGTGTTCTTCCTGCCCCCAAACCAATCAAGACCTAGGGGCAGGGGAGCGTACAAAGTCTCCTTGCCCCACAAGAATATGAACTGGCTAGAGAGACATACCGGCTATTTTAAAACAGTCAGCGTGTCTCTGGATCCAGTGTGCCAAGCCGGTGGATCTGGCCCACAGCTGCCCTGCTGCTCCCCTACCCCCAAGCCAATCGGAACTTGGGGATAGGGGAGTGCACAAAGTCTCCTTATCCTTGCAGCAGCTAGACACACACACCGCTGTTTTAAAACAGCCCACATGTGTGTCTAGCCGCTGTGCGCCCCTGGCAAAAGGATGCGAGAGACTTTGCACACGTTCCCCGCCCCCAGGCCATGATTGGCTTGGGGGCAGGGAGTGTGCAAAGTTTTTCTCCCCACCCTTGGCAAAGGCGCACCACAGCTGGAGAGAAAATCTTGCTATTTTAAAACAGCCAAAGTATGTCTTTAGCCGCTGCGTGCTCCTTTGGCCCCAGGGATTGATTGGGGTGAGAGAGCGGCTGCAAGCCAGATCCACTGGCTTGGGCCAAATCCAGCCCACAGAGGGCCCTTTGCTCACCCCTAGTTTACACTGACATACATGTCCAAAAATTCTTTTAACCAATTCAACTTAATATGCTTGAAATAACACTTTTATTACAAACCAGTGCAATTCTGTGTGAGACAAGCCTTCATTCTTCCCCTTCAGGACTACATTCCTTTCTAAATAGTTTTGCTATTTTATCATCAGCCCTTTTGCCACCATCCCATGTCACGGTTTCTCTAGTATCACTTATTTGTAACCCTCTTCCCTGCCCCAAACATGCTGCCAAGAAGTCTTCTTCAGTTTCCTCTTTCGCTCTTCTGTATCCTCTTGCTGTCTGAGTTGTTCTCAGCAATAATCTTTCTTGTTCATTTTTCCCTGAGCTGTTGTCCCAGGTCCCGTGTTCACTTTTTTAATTTTAGGAGATAAATTGTATGGGACTTGTTGGGTTGCATATCACAATTTAAAGAGGTGGTGCTATATAGGTGAATTTTTTTAATCAATAACATGCACATAACATTCATATTTATAGGCCAATAAAATGGAATCTCAGCTACAGAAAGATTCCATAAAAGCAATGCAGTGCCAAGAAGAGAGAGGGCAGCTGGAAGAAGCCGTAGCAAAATTGCATCTAAGTGTCCAGCAAATGAGAAACACTTTAGAAAAGTATACTGCGAGTATCCAGGTAAATGTGTTTTACTCAGAGGTGCTAAGTATATCCATAGTTAAGGGTGAATGTAGATTCTCATATTAACGTCTATACCTCCTACATCCCTTCCTAAAATGAAGTCTTTTGTTATTTGTGCAGTATTCTAACAGTCTTTTATTTTGTAGAGTTTATCAGAACAAGAAGTTCATTTGAAAGTACAAGTTAAAGAACTTGAGGCTAATGTAATTGCTGCTGCTCCTGACAAAAACAAACAGAAACATCTAGAGAAAAACCTTAATACTTTCAAAAAAGGTATGTTTTGTTTTAGTCTTAAATGCAAATTATAGTGAAGCCCATTTACCAAAGCTGGTTTTGTTCAGATTCACTAATGAGTTTTTTTAAAAAAATCTTGAGGCACCTTCTGTTCCAGTGCTGTCGGTAGTCTTTTTCTTACTGTTTTCTTACTGTTACTTGCAGTAGTTCATTTTCACTTCTCATTTAGGATCTTTATCACCAAAAACTAGGCTGTAACTAACCTATTTAAAGGTTGAAACAAAACGTGTGTTGCATTTTTTCTGATCTTTGTTAATAATGTTTCTCTTTGATCATCCAAAAGTTCTGTGTTAACATTTGACAGTTCTTTTAAATCTTTTTCTTTCATGGCACTGGCTTCACAGAACCATACTGAAGGAGAGAGATGCATATCCTATGGCCACAGTACTTTCTTTGAGAAGTACCAACAGCAAGGGAGCATGCACATTTTTCTATCCTCCATCAGTAGAATGTATGGATATAAATAGCTCACTACAATCAATCTCTGTTTTTTCTTCTACTAATTCGTATAGATATGAAAACATGCCTCCTCTCCCTTGCACAAAGTGACTGGCTTGCTTTTCTTCCAAGTGGCTAATAAAAGTTTGTTCTAGAATTTTAGGCTACGAGTTTCAAAAAATTGCTATCTTAAAATTAGATTTCTAAGTAAGCACTTAAATAAGAGGCCTGATTTTCAAAGGTTATAGACCAGTGGTCCCCAACCTTTGGAGGTTGTCGGGCGCCAGGGGGCGTGGCCGTTCGCCCGCCGGGCGCCAGGGGGCGGGAACACTTGCGCCCCGGGGGCGGTCCCCCCCAAAGCCGCATGCCTGGGGGCGCCCCCCCCATAGCTGCATGCCCGGGGCCGGCGCTCCCCCTGCCATGCGCCCAGTGCCAGGCCAGCCCCGAGCACCTGGCGGGCGCATGGAAATGCCCCCACGGGCGCCATGGCGCCCGCAGGCACCGTGTTGGGGACCACGGTTATAGACTCATAGACTTTAAGATCAGAAGGGACCATTATGATCATCTAGTCTGACCCCCTGCACAGCGCAGGCCACAAAATCTCACCCACCCCTCCTAGAATAATCCTCTCACCTATATCTCAGATATTGAAGCCTTCAAATACTTTGAAGACCCCAAGATGCAGCGAATCCTCCAGCTGTGATCTGTACCCCATGCTACAGAGGAAGGCGAAAAACCTCCAGGGCCTCTGCCAATCTACCCTGGAGGAAAATTCCTTCCCGACCCCAAATATGGCGATCAGCTAAACCCTGAGCATGTGGGCAAGACTCATCAGCCAGACACCCAGAAAGCTCTCTATAGTAACTCCTATCATCCCTCCATTGACCTATTTCCCACTGATAATGAATGGTCAATTAGTTACCAAAATCATGTTCTTAGTACCTTACAGGGCGGATTGCTTTAAATCAGGTTACCAAAAAGCTAAGACCGACTGCGCTTAATTTTGGAGTAAGCACCTTTGAACTTACACTTCTGTTTTTTTGAGAAAGTAAGTATAGGATGAGGTTCCCTTGGAAAAGCTGAGGTATGCTGAAGTAAAATAGGGAATAGACTTATGGCATCACCATTATGATTTATGGTCATGATGTTCCAAAATAAGGAGCATGTTTTCTGTAATAAAAAATAAAATGACAGTGGCAACTGGCAACTTTAGATTTTTATTTAAGTTATTAACCATTTGATCCAATTAATCATATCCACTTCCTTTTTTTTTTTCTTCTTCCAATAAAGAGTTTTTCCTTATGAGGTTTCATTCTTGCAACTAGATCCTGCATTATCATCTTAAACTGCTTACATTTGACACTTGTTCCCTTTTTTACCCAGGGAATGAATTTCTTAACAATATTTCCAAATAGGGTCTAGGGTCTCTTACACAGAAGCCATGACAGTTTTTCTGTGGCAAAAGTATAGGGGGATATAGGAAGCTGTATGTGTACTGAATAATAGCTTCCCTTTTTCTTTCTTGTCTATTCCAGTGTTCCTTTCTTTGCTACTCCCATCCTTTCCTATATGTTATTTCTGTCTTTAAGACAATGTCTTATCTAACTCCTCTGCTGTGCTTGCACAGGTTCCACCACCACATAAGCACAGAACAAAAACAATCCTATCCAACTTGTTTTTTTCTTTGCACATGTTACTTTTTGGTCTACTGAGGACAGAAACTGAAAGCCCAGAACCTTCAAGAAGCAAGAGCTAGTAGTTAGGCTGAACAGTGTCTGTGTAGTATATTTGTAATGAGATGTAATTGTTATATTTAAATGAGAAAATTGATTATTAGTTTTAATCAATTTTTATCTGCCCTGGTACCTTAGAGCTCCCATAGAAATCTCGGTGAAAACTGTTCTGGAGAGTGTCTCAGGTCACAGGTCTTGAACTTTCTTTTAAAACTACAAAATTGTTATTAGCAGCAAACTTTCTCTAACTTAGACCTAGCATGTTTGTTTTAGCACTGAAAATAATAGCTCTTCAGTGAGTGGTGTCCCTGTGGGTGCTCCACTCAGGTCTCAGTGCGTGCCTGCACCGGGGATTTGAGATTTTTGTGAGCAGTGCCCCTCACGTCATGGCTGCGCACTCAGCTCTCCCCCTTCTCCCCAAACATGTGGAGTGTGCGTGCCGTGCGAGTCTCATCAGTTCCTTTTCAACCATTCATGGCTGAAGACGGAGTTCAGAGCAGTGCTCTTCTTCATGACAGGAAAAACAGAAATCCTCTGTTAGTTTTAGGTTTTTATCTCACAGTTCTACTTAGCTCGACCTTTTTCAATGTTTACTTTGTTGGGGAGGGGAGGCGGCAGCCACAGTGGAGGCTTTTCTTCACCACAGCAATGCCAGATTCCCCCAGCTTCAAAAAATTTGATTTGTGCAGAGACTCAATGCCTACCTCAGAAGTGGGTCTGGCCCACGAAAGCTCATCATCTAATAAACCATCTTGTTAGTCTTTAAAGTGCTACATTGTCCTGCATTTTGCTACCTCAGATGGGCATCCCTCATGTGTCAAATGCCTGAGGGAGTGTCATGAGGCACAGAAGTGCCCTCATTGCCTGAATATGACAGCAAGGGCCAGAAAAGACCACAAAATGTGGCTTAAGACTATTCTCTGGGAAAAGTCTCTTCAATCACCAAGGGACAAACCAGAGGAGGTACTGGCACAGCAAAAGCCCTTGGGTAGAGCAGCTTCATCACCCTGCAAAGGCTCTCAAGCCGCAAGGGCACGCTCCCTGTCCGAGCGGCCTAGAACCTCTTGTTCCCCAGTGCCATCAGTCTCTAGCACCTCAGAGAAACGCAAGTCCGTGCCAGCCAGGAGAACTGAGGCACAAACTAAGACCACTGCATCTACTGACACCACTGAGGCAGCAGCTTCAGATAAGCCGCATTTGCCTCCATCAGCTCCAGCTCTCCCTCTGCACCCAATCTAACCGGGCAGGTGATTTTGACCGTCCCATGGCACTACAGCCTGAGAAAGCGCTGTGCAAAACACAGTACCTACAAAAATCTCCTCAATCTGATTTAAGAGGAGTAACTGGCTCACCACAGTGCAGGGGCACCCTAACACTTCACAGAGTAGCCCCCACTCGCCTACACCACTATCCCCAAGATCTTGTTATGGTAGTGGGCATAGGAGCAGGCTTTCATCAGGCCACTCCTCTCCTTCGCCATCACTAGCATTCATTCTGGGATCACTCCCTTCAACAATGTCCCATTTGGCCCAGCCAACCGTTGATGTATTCCCCACATCAGCTCCCACCTCAGTGGAACCCATGGGATACATGGTAAGGGTACCGGCTGCGGACCTCCCATACCTACCATTCAAGGCCCACAGCCTCTATATCCCAGCAACATCGCATCTCTAGGCGCTCACCCACAATTTCTGCACGCTCCTCACCTGCCCTCAGTAATTTCTCAAGAGGGTTCCAGTGAACGTGACAAACTATCTTTGAACCTTCGGATGCTTTGTGGCAAAATACAGCCTCTGTTCCTCCCACAAACTGCAGAGCGGACAGAAATTATTTAATCCCTGCAAAGTACATGAACTTTCTATTTTCCCAACTACAGCCAAATTTGCTGGTGGTGGACTCTGTGAATCACAAGGCTAAGAACTCACAATCTGAATCTATGCCCCATTACAAAGAACACAAACGGCTAGACCCCTAGGGCCGCAAAATGTACTCTTTGGCCACACTTCAGTTCCGTATATCTAATTATACAGCACTGTTGGCTAATTACAATCATGCCATTATGCCAAATTACAAGACTTGCTACGGGACCTCCCTGAAAACAAGCGACCTCACCTTCAATCCATCATTAAGGAGGGTTTATCAATAGCTAAAACAGCTCTTCAGGCCACTATGGATGTCGCAGACACCGCGGCTAGAGCCACAGCCATAGTAATTGCAGCCACGAGGCCTTGCACGTTATCAGGGGTCCCAAAGGAATTACAAACAAAGGTGGAGGATCTCCGTTTGACAGGAAACAATTGTTTGCTAAAAATACAGATGAAATCCTACACTCTATGAAGGACTCTCATACGACACTACGCACCTTGGGCATGTACACCTCTCCCAATAAGAAGCATAAATACACTCCCTACCAAAAACCGAGGGATTATAATTACAACTATTACAGGCAGCAGCAGAGGCCATATGATAACAGGCCCAAGCAATGCCCTAATAAGAGGAGGCATCCGCAAAATCAATCCTCCACAAATCAGTCTACCTCTAACAAGCAGAAAATTTGAAGTTTTGGTTGGGGGCCTGAGCAACCACCCCTATAAGTCCAGTGCAGTCCGTTGTCACCTTTGGTCACTGCCTGAGATTTTTTCTACCAACAGTAGGCCCAAATTACCACAGACAAATGGGTCCTAGAAATTATCAGATCAGGTTATATAATCCCCTTTACTTCCATGCCCCCTACCCAACGTTCTACCCCATCTCTCTTTAGGGACCCCTCTCACAAGCCCCTATTACGAGCAGAAGTGCAAAAGCTAC